TGCCAAATGCTTGTCAAAAAGTAAAATGAAAATCAATAGCAAGGCATTGTCTTGCTGAGCGCATGGTAATTTGTAAGTAGGTAATTCACCAAGAGATTGTCAAATTCGAATTGCCAGATCAGTTGAACCCTTTTTACCCACTACTACGGACATGCGAATCTCGATCAGTGGCCTATTACCTTAGTCACCTGGCGATGTATCAAGCCCCCTTCGTCTCTGAACCATTCCTATCACTCCATGACCCGCTTGCATGTCGTTGCGGGAGAAACATCACTTGCAGCCCGTATCATGGGAAAGTAAGAGCCATGGAAAGCAAAGCTGTTGCAAATGCGCAGCAAAGCTCAAATCGATCAATCTACGCGAATAATCCTACGTGAATGCGCCTCCGCGATCGCCTGTATATAGATACTATTTTGATTGCCTCGCACTTTGACAATAAGGAATCGAAACCGCTGGGGTCTCTCTATATACAGCTTGTTCATGTGCAGTGAGGGAAAACGATATGTCGTGAGGGTGAGCCAATTGCACACTAAAATCCGGTTTCCAAGGCCTACATACATAATTCGTCGTCGTCTGTAACCAAACAATCCCCAATAGCCTCACCCAGATGCTACCCAGTTGCCTTTGCGCCAAGTCCAATTGATGATGGTGATAATAATGAGATGCTGTCACTCTTTTTTGAGCCGTCCGCCCCGTCTTTTTTCTTTTTCATTCCCATGGTCAAGCCTAACGTCAAAACATAAGAAAGATATAGCCTCTAATGCTGTCCGGGTAAAATGTAAACAAAGTCGAAGAAAAAAACAAGAGGTCTACGCCAACTCCAAGGTATGGATATCGTAGCGGGCATCTATCCAGTCGTCCACCACAAAATCTCATCTCGCCTATGCTCGCATCCCTTGCGCCTGTACTTGCCGTCTAAAAGTCGTTGGACTGGATATCATTGGCGTGCAAGCGTCGAAACTGTCATCATATCAAAACGCTTACGGCATTGTCCAGGGTTCCGGCTGAAACTGAGGCAGGCCATCTGGCGACTCTTGGTATGTGGCGATGCCGTCGTTGAATTGCTGACCCCAGAACGCCGGGTCATCTTCAAAAGTGAGAGAACCGCCAGCAATCGGGCCGCCGTCATCAAATGAAGAAGGTGCTGCCATGAACTTATTGTTCGATGATTTGGCGAAGCTGTCGTAGTCAATCGTGCTCAGGTCTGCTCCAGTAGCAAGGAAACTCGCTGGGTGAATAAAGCTGTTGCTTCCAGTGCCGAAGCCGTCGTAGTCACTATCGCCAGCGATGAAGTTGTCCTCTACTTCAGAGACCTCCCCAGACGTCGAAGTCGTCGCGGCGAGGGTGGGAGCTGGCTCGGACCCCGTACCGAAATCGAAAATGCCATTGAAGCTCTGAGCGCCAGCCTGGCTGTAACTCGAAGGAGCAAACTTGTCCGTCCTGTCGGTGAGATCGATATGGCTCCAATCCACGGATGCAGCGCTCAGCCCAGCACTGAAGATGGGCGCATCGTGATCCGACGACATTCCTGATCCGCCAAACAGGTCGAAAGAGGCGTTGGGTACATATGTCGGGTACTCAATGCCAGAGAGATCAAGGGGCGGAAGCTGGTTGTTGAGTTGCTGGAAACCAGATGAACCTCTCATGAGTGGAGAAGCAGCTTCAGACTTGACTAGTCTCTGTGGAACAGGTGCGACGCGGCCCGATACGGGATCCTTGAGAGGGTTGTCACTGATGCGCTCCGGGGAGTGGCTGCCCAAGCTACTGGTGCTATGCAAGGAATTGACACGGCTGAGTTGATAAGGTCCGCACTTCTGAGAAGCCTTGTTGAGCTTGTGTGCTGGTTTGTGATGGCCGTGCTCGTCGAAGGTCAACATGCCATCAGAATGGACCGTATTCGCACGCCGCCTGCGAACGGGCGGCTTCGGCCGAGGTGCGATGGCTTCCTTGTCGGAGTCGGATTCGGGGACGGTGTCGAGGGCTGGTTCTTTCTTGTGGCTACAAGTGCAGCGACCACCATGATTACAGCAACAAGTCTCTGCGCGCGAGGAACATGAGTGTTAGAGGGGATTGTTCTCATCATGGAGGCGAATACTTGTCAGAAGCACAGGGCAGACTCACCTCTATGGCCATCGGCCAAAGGTTGCAGGTGAGCGCATTTGCTTGTCTTCTCACCACAATCGCACTTGATGTGGGCAGAGCGTGACTTGCGCATCGACCGACAATGTTGACATTGGGAGACGGGGCGACCCTTCTTGTTAATATGTTGAAGGGGACGATCTGCAGCAAAACAAGCGGTTAGCTGCACATGTTTGCTAGAATCTCGATGCTCAGTGGCGTAGTTGGGGAAGGAAATCCCCCAAGTGAAAGAGGTAGAGGTAGCTTGGGGTATGTTGTGGTATAGCTAAATGAGCTGCATTGCATGGGTGCAATTGCAATGAGAAGAGAAGTGCAATGAAAGGTCCAAGAACTTACCAGAGTGTTGGCAATTGCTAACACGGTGACCCCGAACGCAGGCCTCGCAGGCATACTTCTCCCCGTCGATAATCATGTCGGGCGAGGCAAAACAAGCAGCAAAATGGGGGATGAATGGTTGGGAGGAAAAAAGCGATTCTAAGTTCCCCCGCCACGAGAGTTTGGGAAGGAGAGAGATCGAAGACAATCGGCGGTCGGCAGGCGTGCAAAGAAACGGTCGAGTCGAAGACGAGGATATGGTAGGTCGGGTCGGCCTGGAAAGTGGGATTTTCTTGCCCTGGAGCGTGGAGCGGGAGCTCTTCGGTCTCGTTACAGAATGTTTGGCGTGGGCTGGGGGGGGGGGGCCGTGTTAGTCCAGTGCCCCTGGTTGGGTTGGGTGCCGTGGGTGCGATGGCTAAAAGCTGGGCCGGCCGGTAGCGGAAGCTGGAGGGTTCTGGGTGTCTGTCCGTCCGTACTTTACGTACGGCTGTACGGATGGTGCTGGGACTGTGTGTGGTAAGTGGTAGGTGGGAGGTGGTAGGTGGGAGGTGGTGGTAGGGGTGTTGGTGGTGGGAACTTGGCCAAGGGTTTGTTTGTGTTGTCCGTCCTCTGGGAGGGTTACGGACCTCTTGCCTCTTCTTTTCTTGTGAAGAAGAGGGGAGAGACTGGAGTGACAGTGACCGCCAAGCACGACAAAGTGTGGAGGTCTATGAATAGGACATATCCGTGGGGTATACGGATACGGATAGCAGCTAAAAGATTTTCATAAAAATCAGAAGAAAAAAAGAGATGAGGACGACGGACGAGGGCAGGGTCGGCCAAGCTTCGAGGTACGGAGGTACTTGGGACCAATTGACCGATGTCAACGTCCGGAACAAGTGGGTAAGTCTAGTCGAGTGGTGGGTGTTGAGTGGAGAATTTTCATCACCTTTCCAATGTTGTGTCTGGGCTTGCTCCAGTTGTTCAAGCCTCAACCAGGTTGGCGCACGCGAGGTAGAATACCGACAGCAAAGGTTTTGTTCTCAGCAGTCCGTGACAGAAGTAATCGAGAAAACAAGGGTTCAAAAAGATTCGACAGAGGACGGCAGAGACAGTGTAGAGCAGTACGTCGCAGGAGAGGGCCCGTAGAGACGAGCTGCCAGTATCGTATTCTGTAGAGCAGTCTGGTAGGGGTAGCTGAGCGTGTCGTCGCTAGTGAGGGTCGTCACAGGGCCTGTACCTGGGGCGCAAGGGCTGAGCATGTGCAACAAACAGGATGTGGTCGGTGTGTGGCGGACCGTGGTCGTCGACGAAGACCGTGCAGCGCTGTGCAGCGATTGCCGGTGTTGGCGCCTTCCCAGCTCTTCTCTCGCCTAGTGTAGCGTATGAAGTAGTGTCCGGGTTTTTGGGGTTGCAGGGAGGCGGGATGAAATCGAGACTCTGATTCGGAGACGCGGGGGGTAAACCAGCCGACCAGTCGCAGCTAGGCGTTGAGGCCCTGGAGGGTGTGAAGATCGGAGGGGTTGGAAGCAGCGCTGCGCAGTAGGGTGGGGGTTCGAGGTTCCCTTCTTTCCTTTGCTGGCACGGTGGCAGGTCTGCAGCGGAATGGCGTCAAAGTCAAGTCTGTACGTCTTCGCTGACAGGTATCCGTAGGTAGCCTTTGGCCCTCTTCACAGCTGGGCTAAGGTAGCTTGGCTGCAGACTGTGTCAGGCAAGGCACGGTCGGAGAGACTGTGGCCGAAAGAAGGTAAGGTAGGTATGTACCTGTGCAATGGGATTCCAACAAGATTCCCGAGGCAAGGGGGAAAAGGTCGAAACTGTCTTTGTATCTGTAGGTCGTAGGGAGTAGGAACAGGGTGCGGAAAGCTGCAAGAAAACGGAGACACTGGCACCTCGAGGGGAGCAGCTGGATCGAGCGGTGCTTTCTTGGCCCTTGGAGATGACGGCGGTTGGTCGGCGGTTGGTCGGCGGTGCGGTCCTTCGGTGGTGAAGCCCGAAGTAGATGAGTTCAGAGGTCGGGAGTTTGGTCGGCCAAGGGCGGGCGGGCAGGCGGATTCAGCCTTCAGGGCAGTGAACGAGACTGGTCGTCGGAGCTAATAACGCGAGATGGTGGCTGGTCGCTGAATTTCTGAAGGCCCTTGGCTGGTGGGAACCTTGAGAACGGGGGGTTTGAACGGTAGCCTAGAAGTGTGTTGGTACCTTGAGGGGCCGGCTGTGATTGGCGGGGAAGTAGGCGATGACTCGGTCGCAAACTAAGGTAAACTCGCAAAGTATTCGTAATGTCGTACGGATACTCTATCCAGGACTTTGGGACTCCTCATTCCAGAGTTGAAGGACAGGACACAAGGTAAGATCGGGTTGCACGATAGCTAGTTATACCTTTTGTCGTATTCGCTGTAGGTTATTCCAAGGGCCGACTTTGCGCTGGCTCGACGAAAGGCGCAATAATTTCTCATGTGTAAGTGAGGTGGCCTCGACTGGCAACCTGGTAAATACTGGAGACCCTGTCTGGAGACTCCGTGTGTGTCAGTGGCATGCGGAGCGCAAGCTGTGTCCTGCCTTGATACTCAAGGAGGGGAGCGATGCGTCGCCTGACGGGCAGGAGAGTGAGGTAGTCTCTCCGTGGACACGATGAAGTTTCTCGAAAGATTGCAGAATAATGGGAAGGGACGTGGGACAGGTGGCAAGGTGAAGTGGCAGGCGCCGGGGCGGACGTGGGAAGCCATTTTAATGTTTGGGGCCTTCCGCCTTCAAGAATTGGGATTAGGGTGAGACTGAGATGATGCATGGGACAGGAAGGCGAGGCGCGGTTACCTTCCCTGGGCCACACTGGCACCTGAGGTTGACTTGGAGTGACGGGCAAAGACGGCGGGGACGGCGGTAGCTTCTTCCCTGCTTTCTCAAGCATCTTATTGTGCTTCTTGTTGTTCTCTTTCTCGCCGCTGCTGATTGTGGCCCCAACAGGTACATCAAGGTAGACTGATCGAGGTGTGTTGCGTGCCTACTTACTGCTTCAGCACAAGGAACTTGCTACGGTGAAGGCCGACTCGGTTAGCAACTAACTGTGCCCATGGAGAGAATGGCACGGAATGGCAATAGCTAGTCGCAAGGCAGAGGACGGGAAAGGGCCACGACAACGGCGATGGCCATGACCCGGTGCCATGTATGTAGTGGTGGTGAACGGAATAAATTGGAATGGTGAAATGCAAGTGCGCGAAAGGGTGCATGCCTGAGGCGGGTGCCCTGGTCTTCATGTCAGGTCTTTCCAGAATCCAGCAGCCAGCAGCCAGCAGGCAGGCAGGAGCCAGAGAGGGAGGGTTCGCCCATGCATCCACCACCTGCAGACTGTCTGGAGGCCATGATTGGGTCTTTGGAGCCGTTTCTATGGGGGGTGGGCCCCGTTCGACCTGGATGTGGGCAGGTACAGACAGTCCCATGAAGTTATGTACTCCGTACAGCTGGGCCTGGGGCTGTAGCTGGAGTTGGCGTAGATGTTCAGAGGAACGACCTGAGTAGGTAAGAGAAAGGTAATCTGTGACATGCCTTACTGGGCGAGAATGAAGGATCAGGTTCATTCGCGGGAGTTAAGAAGGCGATCAAGTACCTACCTACATACCTACCTGGGTACCTAAGGTAGAAGGGGATCATGAGAGCAACGCCACATTGTATCGCGCGGGAGTTCCTCACACTGATACGAATACCTCAAGAAGCTGGATGCAGACCTCAGTTGAAAACTGGCATGTGGCAAGCACTACTATGTCCCTCGAGATTGGTATTTGCCTCGACTGTTGCGACTTCAATATCTCATCTCGCCTTGGCAGCCCAACCTATCCATCAACTCCCGTGTATCTTGAGGTATTCATACTTACTCACACTAGCACACAGAGAACAGTCCTCAGAACATGTATTGGGTGAAACAAGCGAGACAATCACCCGTCCCGATCCCGTCCGACTATCCCGTACGGTGTAAGGATGCTAAGTACGTTATCCGGAAGTTCTTTGCAGAGTGTGAATATAGGCACAATGCAGCCTTGCTGCGTTGCGGATAAGACGGTCAAGACGGTAAAGACGGGATGAGGATGAGGATGCAAACGCCCCGAATCATGCCGATGAATACAATGCACCTCAAGGCTCGGACGGCGCTTCGTTCCGTATTGCTTACACAGTAGTCTATCCGTACCTACCTTCGCGTGTCTTCCCAACAGTCTACTTACGTGATGACCTTACCTGTCCTCGAACACAATCTTGTTGGTCCTGATCCGACAGTGGAGACCGGCTGGTGCTCCAAGCGTGGACTGGCACTCTGGAGTCTGGGGTTCAGATTCTGGAGTGCCCGTGGAGTTGCACCACAACTTTGAACAGACACATTCATGATCCTTCAGACTCCAGTTTCCGACGGTCAGGACGGCGGCACAAAACACACGCTGGTCAATACTTGGCATGCCGTTTCTTATGAACATACGGCTATAGGCACGGATAATACTTGCGCAGTATTTGAATTGAAGCTCATGCAGGGTATATATGCTCGTGCCCAGCAGCTCGTTGGACTGTTCTACCAGCTAAGTGGCCGAAGGTAGGACAGGAACGTCGCTTTCATTCGTACATGGCCATTGGATCTCAAAGGTCGTCAGTTGCATCTACCTTACGTACGCCGACCTCAACGTCTGCGCTCAAAGTAAATGAACTACTGACTCTCAAGGAGTACCTTGGGTATTACTTCGTAACCAGCAAAGAGACACCAATTGCTGCCACTAAAACTAAGGGTAGCAGCAACAGGAGTCGCCAAGAACAAACTGCAACTTCACAGCCTCGATACTAACGCTCTGCGGGTACCAGTCATGACTGTGACTTGGAACCGTGTTAAGAAATCAACGATTCCTGACACGTGCCTCATTGCCTGCAAGCTTGGCGAAAGGTACTGGGGCATTTTGATCCCCTTGACTGGCGCCTAGACAGCAGAGCATATCTTTGTGATTAAAACATCAAGTTGTAACGTATTCGCATCAATGTAACCTCAGCTGATTCCCAACTTCTCATGATAGTCAAGACGACTGCTCAAAGCCAGGTGCCCAGCAACGGGTTTTAGATAGTTGTTCTATGCCAGGAGCGAAAACACCAACGTCGAGTGATATGCGACAGTTGATGCCGATCTACGTAAAACGTAGTTCTGGCAATTACATCACATGGCGAAGGGATGACCGTATCGATGCCCAGATACGATTTTGGGTGCAATACGAAGCAAGGTAGAGTTCCGCAATGGATGCGGAAATCAGAGCTCCGGGAAATTGAAATTCGCGTTGAAGTGTCACAACCAACGTCTCCAGTAGCGATGCTGTGAGCTTTGTGTCCGGCGAAAGCCATTGTGAAGCAAAGAAGAGCATGGAGCCTCATGGTTGAGACTCGTAGCGAGGCCAGGGTTTGACCAAGGTCTCATCACAGGCAACGGCGGCTACCGCGATGAACTGCAACGTCTGCCGCTGCCGGCCTTGACGTGGGAGTGGCAACACAAAAGACGTGAGTGGCCTGGGTAAGACGACTAGAGTTAGAGAGAGATGGGAGAGAGAGAGAGAGAGAGAGAGGCGGCACGAGATCGGAGAAGGTTGAATTGGTGGTTTGCTGTGAAAGAAAGAAGAGGAAGAAAATTTTTCGTCAGAAAGAGATATGGGCGGCGAGGGGTGGGGTGGGAGGGAAAGGAAGCCGTGGGGTGAGGTAATTGGGAAGGCGGTGCAGGCTGCAGCTGCCGCCTGTGAGGCGCGATCGACCTGAGGCACTCGTACATCTGCAGATGTCTTTTGAGCCTTGGATTGAAAGTCAGGCCTGAGGTTGAGATTTCTAGGTACGCGCGAGCAGTTTCAGGGCTTCAGGGCAGATGCCTTAGGTACTCTGTACAGTCGAGAAAGATGCAGATACCTAAAGTCTTCCCAGTTTGGTAATTATTACGGAGTATCCGTACTGTGGTCGGCTAAGAAGGTACAAATGAAATGCTTTGTGACAGGGCGAACAGTCGGGTGGACGACGGAAGAACGTTTCCTGATTTCTGGCACCCCCACCATGCTAGAAGGTGCATGACGGCAACCATCAACATTTACTGCGTAGGCATGACTTGCCTCATGCCCACGATATCTATCAATCTTGCGCATACGTGCTTGCCATGCTTTAGGTAACATATATGTAGGCACTGATTGCCCAAGTCGCCATCTTATCTCACGCTAAAGTTCTTCGATTGCCAAGATAGGTGTCCGTATCTCGAGAAAGAAGCACATGATTGCCGGTATCTAGGACGATGACGATGGCTGCAACCCAGCTGCCCAGCTGCCCAGCTACAGTGTATCCGTAGATGCGTGCCCACGGCACAGCTTCTAGAAGTCTGCATGGAAGACAACCTGATCGGGCCAACCGACGGGAGGACGAGAAAGGGTGGTATGGCGGCATGGTTTGCATTCCGCCTTCCTCCTTCCATCTGACCATTGGCCATCAGCCAGGTCGGCTGCCCGTCAAATTATCGGCGCTAAATGCTTGGGTCTGTGCGATCGACTGTGAATGGGAGGTGCTGCGTCCGTCTGTGTGTCGTGCGTGTCTACTCGGAAGATCCTTTCTCAGTCGATGCTTCACCTGCTGCACCGTCTGCTACCACCTTCGGCCCTTCTTGACACGGTGCAGCGCTGAGGTCGACCGTCGGCTGCACCTTCGCGACCCCCTCACACCCTCCGCCAGGCGCCAGGCGCCAGGCGCCAGCTGACTGTGCCGAGCGACTCTGGCTGATTGACGGTCCATCTCGTTGGTCAACCCTTACGAGGGTGTCCTTGACTGTCAACCTTTGGGGGCTTCTCTGCTCAAATCAACGTCTGAAGAGTCTTGAAGCCCTCGGTGTCCGCTTTAGGCTTGGGTCTGTAGTCTCTACTGTTTGAGATCGCAAGGAGACTTATAGACGGACAACATGTTGATCAAAGCCCGCAGACCAGCAGCCACAAGTCTGACCGAAACATGTATCCCCCTAGCTACAATGGACTCTAAAAGTCGCATCTAATTTCTACACATGATGAGTTTGCTACGGAATCGATATCTGTGTGTGCCAGAATGTAAACTGTTGTGTCTCTGTTCACTAAGCTGAGCGCCAACGGTCGGAGCAACGTGAAGCGAATACAGCTTGCCAAGTATATTTAGAGAGTGGCACCCTTGTATCCGCTGCTTACATTGCCCCTCACTACCCCATTTTGCAGCCAGACCAAAAAAGAGAATCGGTTGCCCTCGGCCATTGTCGTCTCGTTGTCGAGTTCGTCTCATTATCGACTCGTGCTCTAGCTCGGGTGCAGTTCTTGTGTTCGGGTCGCACTAGCGAAGCGGCTTCCGCTAACGACATGACACGTTAAACCATTCTCGTTCAACGATGCTGAAAATGTCAAATGAAAGTTCGATAGACCATTACGAAGGAACCCGACGTCGATCGATTGGTGTGGCTTACAAGTTACGGTTCCGGATCCTGAGGACTCGTCGGCGAATTCAGATTTGAGAGAAGGGACCTTGGATGAGGACCGGAGCTTCATACAACCCTTCATGTTCATGTTCAATGAAAACTCGAGTAGCGCACGATCAAGATGTTTTGTGCAATCCAGAACCGCAAGGTCTTTGGACAGCCAAGGTGCCTCGCATCGAGAAGAAGAGCAATTGCTATCATGGACCAAGGCCATGCAGGGCAACTCTACCTGTCGGACAAATGAGAATGCAATGAAGCGGGATAACCAAGCTGCCAAGGACTATTGACGTCCGATCGGCCAACTACATCTGTGCCCTTTGTGCGGTTCGCAGAATGCAGGCCAGAATGCTGTTACAAGCGGCTAAATCGAGGCACATCCTTCCTCCTCAGAGATCAGGGAGGTGGATTGACATTAGCATTCCCCATCTCACCCGATATCCGTGCTAAGATGGAAAATTCGAAGTGAGCCTCTTGGATGCAAAAGCGTCCAAAGCGCTTCTTGTAAATACTTTTCCCCCCTACGTTGAACGGCTGGTCTCCTTTGTGGCTGCTCTTTGAGAAGCCGACTTGAACCGCGAAAGCCCACTTGCTCTAGCCCTCCCCGCCCCCTCTTTAGGCTTCGGCTTTCATGTGTTAGTCCTATTTTTATTCAGGTACGGATACTCCGCACTTCGTGACCGGTACTGGCGGTGTGGCTGGAAGAGGTGTCATCCAGCGACTATTTGTTGCTTCGACCGGTAAGTCCAAATTTGGAAGCTCCGCTGCCATTCGACCTCTTGCCATCTACGTAGATCGTGCTCGTAGTGTTAGTAACGACGGTGAAACGAAGGCCTTGATGTTGTTGATAGCTGCGCGAGTTTGATACTATTTAACATACAAAGATGTCCGTTGCCCTGATGCATGTCTCGATCTAAATGTGATGCGGAGGTCGAAAAAGGGAGCCATGGAGGTGGCATGGTGTCCCGACGAATAATGTCCCTCTAGACTCACCCAGACTCATGTAATATGACTACGGGATATGATACGCGACTGTTTCATTCTGAGTAGATAAATTCTCCTTAGGCGAAGCTTATTGAATAACCATTGCTTGTAGTCACAGCTGTTTCCATAAGATAGGTGGGAGTCGCATCTAAGAGCCACTCCGATGACCGGGTCTTGGGCGATAATGCTGCGGCCAATCGAGGTCGTATCCAACAACTTAGATACGAAGAAGAACGAGTTGGGCGTCTGGACCGGATGCGACCTATTATCAGGACGAGAAGAGCTGGGGTCTTTTCACTGTCTGCTGTATGGAGTCTAGCATCTTGCCAACGCACCGTCTAAATATTCGTGGGCAGAAAGTCGACCATACAGGTACACCTGATGCCATAGCAACTTTCAGGATTTTATGTGGTACTCTTGTCCTCCATGCACTGGGAGTGTTTGCTGGTCTCGTTAGCTGCCACTGTTGGCCAAAACATGTGGCAATGACACGATGGCCCGCTGCCGAGCCAAAGAATCTGCTCGTGGACGAGAAAGTCGCAGCGAGTGATGGCTGTATGGATCTGTACGCAGCAGCAAATCGATTGACTCGATTTCATCGTCAAATACTGCCATGGCCAAAAGGGTCTCTGCTGAGTCGGCAACTGAGTGTTCGCGCCGTCCCGTGGGCTGATGTTGGTGCCCCAATGCCTTGATGTTCGCACAACGAGGAACAGTGCTATCGTTTTTGAGCTATTGCTCATATCCAACAGTCAATTTGCGGTTGTGGAATGCCCGAGAACACGTGCTGGTCACTCTTCCTCTCCCGACGTCGCTGTAGCTGCGAACATGGTAACCTGTATTCTAACAGCTTACTTGACCAAAGACCATCGCTGCCGCTCACTAGATCTCGACACTATGACTTGCACATTGAGTCGTCACGGTTTCTCGCCAGCGAAGGATCAAAAGTAGTCAGCAATATTCTCTCTCGTATTGTGCCCTGAATTTGTTGCCGGTTCGACTTGTTGATGGAAGATGATGTGCCTGTTATGTTCTGTTCCATGAATGTCTTGCGAACCACACAAGTAAAGGCAGTGCAAATCGACATTGTATCACAGCGTTTCATATGTGAGTAAGTCTATCTAGATCCTACGAGATCACACTGAAGACAATTATTAGAAAATATATGGTTTCAAAGGAAATTCATACCTTATCCAGGACGAGGTCGCTCGTGAGGAAGCCGGCCTACCAAGCCGGGCACGGCACAGCCAATGGCGACATTGCGAAGTGGGGCGATGTCGTCGTCAGTGCCAATCGGCAACTCCTCGGAACACGTTCAACTACACCTCGGCCAAGTTCAGTGGTGACAGCAGACTCCCCTGAACAGCTCATCGAGTAGCATATTCCAATATCAATAACTTTACTTTGGTACATATTCGATCAATAAGACCGATTTTGAACCACTGCTACCAGGGGCGGAAGAAAGTACGATGGGTTCAGAGAAGAACAACTCCAGCGAAAGGTACGCCCCTTTCTACATCCACGAAACGGTGACAATTTCATGACAGGGCTGAACTCAATACCACGTTGCAGCGCTGTGAATATCATCTTTATCGGAGCCGGCGCCGTTGGGTGCTTCTATGCTTCGCGACTACACCACGTAATTAAGCCAGTCCCCTCGTGCCACTCGTCCAACCAGGCTAACTCACGCCGTAGCCCGACCGAAACATACACGTCTCACTTGTTGCCAGATCTAATTACAAGGCGCTGAAAGAGTCGGGCGTAAAACTTCAAACCCATACATTTGGCGACTACATCTTTCATCCCCATGCCGCCTTTCCATCCGTCGACGCTGCAGCATCCTCCCAGACGCAGTGGGACTTTGTCTTCGTGACAACTAAGGCGCTTCCAGATCGCTCCGATGATTCTGCCATGATCGCGCCTCTTGTAGGGAAGAACACGAGCATTGTTCTCATCCAGAACGGCGTCGGGGTCGAGGAACCATTTCGCCAGCGGTTCCCCAACAATCCCATCGTGAGCGCCGTGACGATTGTCAGTGCCGAGCAGACCTCACCAGGTGTCATCCGACAAAATCGATGGACGAGGGTCAGTATTGGGCCGCATACGAACGGCCTCGGCACGGGTGACTCTGAACTTGGACAACGCGGCACAAAGGCGGTCGAGCAGCTCGGCACGTGGTGGGGTCCCGGCTGGGGCGGTATCCGCGACGTAGAGCCTCACGACGAGATTGGGCTGCAGACGGTGAGATGGCACAAACTCTGCATCAATGCCGCGTTCAACCCGAGTGCTGTGTTGAGTGGCGGGAGAGGCAACGCAGACATGGTCACAGATTCAGAGCTTCGAGAGCATGTTGTGGGCATCATGAATGAGATCAGAGCGGCGGTGCCCAAGATTCTGGGACGAGAGTTTCCCGACGACCTCGCGAAGCCGGATCGTATCGTCAAGAGCACGGAGCGGAATACGGGAGCAAGGCCCAGCATGTTATTGGACTGGGAGGCCGGACGCCCGTTGGAGTTGGAAGTGATTTTGGGCAATCCGGTGAGGATTGCTAGAGCCCACGGGGTGGAGATGCCTCGTTTGCAGACACTATATGCCTTGCTGAGCAGTGCGCAGAAGACTCGAGAGGAGAGGGTTACCAAGGGGAAGCTGTAGCATACGAATGTAGCGCGTTAGATGGCCACCTGGCATGCTCGATTAGACTCAACTTCGCAACCGAAGTCAGGATTTACCGCCCAAGTCTGATTCATGGGCCCCATGCCCTTGATTCACCATCCCGCGACACGATGGTCACAGGTACTGATGGGGACGGGCACAATGTGATGGACGTGTATAGTTCGTGCATGGTCCATCGAATAGCTTGTATTTGATGTCCATGTGCCGTTTATCGCGCCTTGGTATGGTTCACTTCTTACAGCAAGTATGTAAATCTATCTGGACGAGCACCGCTATTCGAGGCAAAGTGGCAGGCTTTTAGAGGCGTTCATGGCTCCGTCTTCACAAGCCTAAATCGTATGTTATCTCATGTCAATGGACATAACTTTGTACCTGGGCAATAACCAGTTGTGAAGTGGACAATCCACTCCGAGTAAATACGTCAATCTTTTGTTTTTTGGAAAACATGGGACCTCCGAATGGCTCTGTTTGTTATTGCGTTGTGGTGGCCGCAAACTTTGAACGACTAGTCTGAGAGATAGATCAACTCAACTATTGCTCATGGCCCATAAGCTAAGACTCCATCCTCTTGGCCAATGCTATCAAAACTTTAGCTGGCCTGCAGGCAGGATGCGCCCATCTCTGCCCCCATTCAGGTCAAGCACTCTCGATGTAGAACGGGAACTCAATAGGTATCATGGGTACGGTATGAGCACGCCTATCAAACATAATCGATGAGCCATGCAGCCCGGAGATTCAACACCACGAAATTATGCTTAAAGTGACGAGGGTTCTGAGCATCGTCAGGGTCTAGACCGATCTAGCGATGGCTTGTCAGCCCCAACGGCACCCGTATCTCGCTCGAGGTGGCACATCGCGGGAGATGGCAGATCACGGATAACGGGATGGCTCATGTGTAGGTACGGATAGGGGCCGAGCACTAGAAGCGGCAGAAAGCACGTGAGTGAAACAAGTCGCGGAGCCTTTGAACAAAGGACGCAGTGTGCCGTGTGACCCGTGTCTTCCGCTGGGGGTCCCAGAATGACATGGGCTCGGGGTGGGCGGCACATCCAGAGCTGGGCCCAGCATGTGCCTCGTTCTTATTGTTTATTACAGAACAGACACGGCAGAGTCGAAATTCTGGCAGTAGATGGGGCAGTCACGAAGTCAACACGTCACGTTCAGCCGAGAAGTGTAGCTTTCAACAGCCACAACAGTGCCGGGTTGGAGCAAGCTCAGGATATCAATAAGGTAGTGAGGCGTTGAGACGTGGGTGAAGGGTACCCAGGCCATCAAGAGGTGTGGCGGTGGCGTTGATTTAATGTGAAGGGTCCTGTAGGTAACAGCTGCAGAACATAACGTCGACACTAGCTACCCGACAAGAGGCTTGAGGTTAGATTATAAACCCAAAGTCTCGGAGCACGGGAAGTGCCCGTCCGTAAAGTAACAATGAGAGCCGGATGCGGTCGGTTGGGTCGGTGAATTTGCCCTCGAAGAGAGAGAAAAGAGGCTCTCTTCGCCGGATATTTCAACCAAGCAGCTGTCATACGTGATGTGATGGTTCGGATCTGAGGGTGGGGTTGATGAACGGACTATGATTGGATTGGAAGATCTGAAAGCAAAGTGCACGGATTACAGCTTATGACGTAGGACCTGAGCAGGGCTGAGATGGCCCCTGGTCGTGCGGCGTGCCTGCCTCGCTACCGAAGACACCGACGTATGGTCACGTATGTGCTTACCTAAGGAGCCACGCCATGAAGGTATCTCACTCCGCACACCAGGCTGCCAGGTATGTCATAGAAGAAGTAGGAACGGCTGGAAGAAATTGCAAACTGCCCGGTTACCCTAGCCCGAGACTCGGCTAGGCGGTGGGGAGAACTGTCGTCGGGGTCTATCGTCTACCGGCAAATGAGAAAAAAATACAGAATGCTTGGGCGGGTGCCTGCCTTCCTACTTGCTCGCCTGGGCGCCGCATTTGAGATACAATCCGGTTTTGAGACTGGCGTCGACGAATGGCCCGTCAGCTGGAGTCCAGGGGCCTCGATGGGCACGCACGGCATAATAAGGAATGTATGGAATGTGGATGGTGTATGTTGGGCAGTAAGGTTGTCTTTGATTGTGTCGGAAGAATTGGTCGGGTACAGACCGCGTTCCAGACCCTACTTGTTACTTGAATTGCTGTGAACGCTGTGCCAGCTTGCCAGGGTGGTAGGTAGTTGAAGTGCATCAAAGGAGAAGTCTGGGCTAGAACCCGGCCCCCATCATGCTCAATTTGGAGAAGCAACTTGGATGAAGCCTGTTTCCCCCTCAGCTCAGACATGAGTAGCCAAGGATAACAGACAATGATCGCAGCGACGGGAACACTTGGGCTTCAGTTTTCTTCTTTGTAGCTGAGAATTTTTCGTTGAAAAATCTCGTTGGGAACGTAGACTGTCTTTCCATCAGGTACCTACCTACTCTTACCTACAGGGAAAGGCGAGGAGGATGGAGCAGGCAGGATTGCAAGCAAGCCTGACAAGCTTGAAGCGGGTTGGCAGGCACGGCAGGTTGTCCGAGCGGGCACGTGCAGCTGGGGATCCATCAGAGTCGACGCGAGTGGAGAGTCAAGTCTGTCCAAGCAAGGATCGACACTGACAAAGCCTTTTGAAGGATAGGCAATTCTGAGAATCCCATCCTCGACAACACCACGAATTTTGTATACCCCACTTGACCATCACCCACAGCGTCCTTCTCATTGCCCACCTCTCTTCCTCTCCCTCTCTCTTCCTCTCGTCTGGTGGATTGCCAGGCGTGCCAGCCACACACATAGCTTGGGAACCGTGAGGACGAAATCTGACACTCGCGACTCGGCACTGGACACTTGACGCCAGCCACAACAAGGAGAAGAGCGCATCATGGAGCCTGTGACACGCCAGGATAGCATCCAATCAGGGCGAGCTACCTCACGGCCCAGGGTATGCATAGTCAGGGGGATATCCTAGTCGTCACCCAAACTGCCAAAACCCCTCCAGTCGCCGTCGTTGACTGCAATGACTGTCTCCGAATTCCAGTACGAATAGAATGTGGCGAAAGGCAAGATCTGCCCTTCTCGATTCCCGCCTTTTCAGCACGCTGGAACCCCCGATCCCCTTCCCCTCCACCCCACACCACTTCGTGCCTCTCTTACCTTAAGTTGCTTAGCTGCTTAGGTAAAACAGCATTTTGCGCGTGCAAAAAACCATCAAGCCGGATAGAACATCCCCATTGGTACCAGCTCCGTTGTGGACGGATGCTGCCAAGTTGCTCCTTGGTCCATCGCTGCTAGGATTTCCAAAGCTGTCCTTCCACTCTGTGTTTAGCAGCTCCGACTACCAACTCTTGTAACGGTTTCCACCATTCTTTCCATTCCAAAGCGCACGATGTATCATCTTTTCAGCTTTATGTTCATACGGTACCCCGATTGCGTTGCATGACTTACATACCGTTCCTCCGACCGAGACTTACATCAAGATATGCGGGCCAGACAAGATGTCTGGCATCTTGTGGTGGAACAAGACAAGAGCCCGTGGAGCCCTGCGGCGGAGAGATTCATTTTTTGATTCGAAACTAGGTAGCTATGGCCGAGGTTCCGTATGCCGACAGACACGGCCATCTTTCTGTAGGCAGTATTGTATGAGAGGATGGATACCCGATATGCCACCCCGGTCGCCCCGATGCGCTGCACTTCACCGTGTTTTGAGGAGAGCCATAGAGAAATGGCAGCTAAACAGCCACAAGCACAGCAGCGCAAAAGAGCAAGCGGCCTGGTGTCCGGACGTTGGCCTTGAGAGCTCGGGGTCCCTGGGGCCTCGTGTTCGTTGCAACCGGATGAAATGCTCCTAATCAAGGTTAGCCAGGCATACTTCCAGGTACCTCAAATGCTTAGGTAATTCTAGTGAGGTAGGTACCGCAAGCGGACGAAGCAGCTCTGGAAGGACCTTGGATTATGGCGTTGCAATCGTCCCTTCTCGGTGTCTCCCCTACGTGCCTGTGTAGATTGTGTTCCCCTCCATTTGGGGGCCATTGCGCTGGGGGCCTCTCTCTCACGTCGTCAAGCACTTTGGCACCTCAGTATCCGTAGGTACTCCGTAAGAAGACTGATGAGTGGGCTTGGTCCGCGATTCCAACTTGTCCCTGGGAGGGGGCCACTTGATTGATGATCGGCACACTAAACAGGGCTAGACAGTTCATCCTGGATCCATGATTCCATGTTCTTGTCTCTCGCATCCATCCCGAGACTTTGTAGGGAGTACGGATACCTCACCAAACCTGCTGTTGATGCTCCTTCCGCTTCTGTTTTCGCTACCTGCTCCTTCTTTGTTGCAAAAGTAAGATTTCTGCCACTGCTGCAGCTGTAGGTCTCGTACAGTGTTCGGCGGCATTATCCGTCTACCTGTGCAGAGCACTGATGACCTTTATATTGACCGCTCCGTGACTGGATTGTGGATTGTGGTTTCGACTGGACTAGACTAGACTGGACTAGACTGGACTGGACTGGACTGGATTGAACTTGACCAGGTTTGACTGGGACTGGGTTCGAGTGGGTGACTGGGAGGGAGCAACAAACTGGATCGGATTGGGCTGACTGGACCGGGCCACGCCGCATCTCATTCCTGTTTTTGTTGCCATCTCGTCTTTCCCTTCCAGCCTTCCCATGTGCCCGTCTCCCCGTCTCGTCTGCGCTTCCCAGATTCTGCGTGCCTGCACAACTGAGGTGCGCTGTCTGTGTTGTCTGCGTCATGACCTTAGGGCATTTATTTTGGTGTATTACGGATAGCGCTCCTGCTTCGACGCTTACCCTCTCAGACCTGTCCATCGAGACGCCTTTACCTCTACAGTGTGGCTCTCACCTCTGTCTTTCCGCCTTACTCTCCGATCTACGCCCGCTGGCTGGTCGATGTACCTTTTCGTTATTGATGTTGGCCGGCACACGAGACGGGCTTCCCTCCCTTGCCTTCTTCACCTCTCTGCTCCCAGGTCCG